GGTCCTAATGTTTTATCACAGCAATAGAAACCTAACTAAGACATGCCCATTCTCTATCCTTTCTTCCTACTTTCTCCCTGTAACTATCTCTAGTCTATAAGTGGTCCACAAACTCTCTGGTTTTCCTCAGCTAGAGTCTGCTATTCCTCAGGTTTTCTCGGTTAAACCTGTTCCTTTGTGAAGTCACATGTTTCTTTGTTCTTCCTCTCTTGGACCCTCCCATAGTTGTCACTCAGTCACAGTATAATCTGTTGTTGGTTTTCTTGAATACTTCCTTCCCTAAGAGAATTAGTACTCTGTGACATGACCATTTTCCTTGGTGCCTCTAAGTTTTAGAAAGTTGCCCCTAAGGCAAAGTGCTATATGTAGCCTCACAGAAATTAAGGTCCTTGAAGAAACATTTGTCTCTCTTATTTTGGTTATCAGACTATCGCAATAGTAGACCCCAAGAAACTGGAATTTTTGGACTGGTGAGATGGCTCAGTGGTTAAGAGCACTGATTGCTCTTCCAGAGGTCATGAGTTCAAATCCCAGCAACCACATGGTGGCTAACAATCATCTGTAATGATATCTGAAGCCCTCTTGTGGGGTGTCTGAAGACAGCTACAGTGTATTTACATATAATAAATAAATAAAAATTAAAAAAATAATAATAATAAAAAAAAGAAACTGGAATTTTTCCAGAAATCTCATGCTGGGAAAAGAGAAAACCTAAAGCTAAACACATGGTTTCTCTCCTCATGCCAAGCAGAGGAGGGACTTGCCATCCAAGTTCCAGGAATTTTCTGCTGGGAAGAGAAAGAAAAGGGCTAAATAAAGCCTGGTACTGGCCAGGGGATGACCTTGTCCTCCAGAAACATCGATTTCACACAGTGTTGAAGTCTTCTCTCTCAGACTATTTGCTAGGGAGATTAGGGTCCAGATAATGACAGGCAAGACCCCTTGACTGGGGAGCTCTTAGATTGTATAACCCAGACCTTCTCCATAAACTCTAACCTCACTTTAGGTTCCTGAAGAGAGATGGTGAGGGACTCACTCTACGTCATTACCCCTCTTACTTAGGTGGTCACACCAAATAAATACTCTTTTTCATGACCCCAGGTTCAGGAACAATACAAATGAAGAAAGTGAATTGTTCTTTTAAACAATTTGTATTTTGGGCTGGAGAGGTTAAGAGCAATGGTTGCTCTTCCAGTAGACCCTGGTTCAGTTCCCAGCACCCACATGGCAGCTCACAACTGTCTGTAACTCCATTTCCAGGGGCTCATAAACCCTCACATAGATATACGTGCAAGCAAAACACCAATGCACATAAAAATAAAAACAGAATCACAAATAAATAAATAAACAAATAAATAAATCTTATAAAAAGAGATTTGTTTTTATTTTATATGTGAGACCATTTTGGCTGTGTGTGTGTACACCATTTGTGTATCTACTGCCCTCAGAAGCCAGAATAGGGTACTAGATCCCCTGCACCTGGAGTTGCGGGTGGTTTTGAACTGCCATCTAGGTGCAGTGAACCAACCTACCAGGTTGAGAGCAAATGCTTTTAGCTACAGGCATCTCTCCACTGTTTTTCATATCAACTTCCTTCCTTTGAATTTAGTTCTATCCCCTTGGAGTCAGCCAATGAGTCGGTCACTACCACAAAACAGTCAGTTAAATATCTACAGATATTTAACACCTTGTACCATGACTCCAAGCCCAATATCCTTCCAGCCCCGGGACAGTCATTTACTGATCACCTGTTATGTACCATCATCCTGTGGTGATGGAGCTAGTGTCTGATCCCCTTCCTCGTGCAACAAGCTTGCAGCAGTGGCAGCTTCTCCCCCTGCTCCCTCCTCCTCCCTCTCTTTCTCCTTTTCCTCTTCCTCTTTCTCCTCTTCCTCCTCCTCCTCCTCCACTGAATTGATGGGAAAGAAGCATGTACATGCCACTGCACATGGGTGGATGCAGTCATGAAGCTGGTTCATTGGTTCTCTTAAATCTTTAAGTGGGCTCTAGTGCCTGAACTCAGATATTAGGCTTTTATGGCAAGCACTCGACCACTTGCTGGCCCCAGAATAGCCTCTCTTTTTTTCTGTTTCTCTGTGTAGCCCTGGCTGTTCTGGAACTCACTCTGTAGACCAGACTGGCCTCAAATTCAAAGATCCACCTGCCTTTGCCTCCCACGTGCTGGGATTAAAGATGTGCACCGTCACTCCCTGGCCCAAAACAGGCTCTTAACCCCACATCTAACTCCTGGTGGAGAAGATGAGATGAGGTCCCTGTCAAAGCTATGTCCTGCCTGAAGTGTCCATTCAGATAGCTACCACTGCCCAAACTGCCTTCTGTAGCCACCTGTCTGACAACACTGGTAACACCGCAAGAAGCAGACCCATATCCTGCACTACCATCACCTTGGCTTTACTTTGCAAGCATGTGAGGACCTGAGTTTGGATCCCCGTCACGGGAGTTCGTAAGACAAGTGGAACACCTGTAACCCCAACTTTTCAACAAGGCAGAGAGAAGGGGATCTCAGGGCTAGCCAATATAGCTGAAATTATGAGTTCCAGGTTCAGTGAGAGAGCTTGTTCTAGACAAATAAGGGCAAGAGCAATAGAAGAAGACATTGGACATCAAACTCTGTCCTCCACATGTGCTCGCGCACACACACACACACACACACACACACACACAGACACAGATAAGAACCCAGATATCTGAGGTCGACAAACTTGCCCAAGTCTCACAGCCTCAACTCTTAGTTATGTGTATGTCAGCTATGCTTAATGAAACTCCTCATGGATGTCACAGTGACCTGGCCTGGATCTGAGGTATGATTCAGGAAATATAGGGAATGCTCAGCAGGATACACAATACATTGTGTGGTCTAAGGTTTCCTTATTTGGATTGAGAGCAGACACGCAGCTATTCATCAATTAACACTTCTATTGAAATAAAATAGCTTCATCAGGCAAGGTAGCACATGCTTGCAATCCCAGAATCCAGGAGGCAGAGGCAGACAGATCTCTGAAAGATCTTGTCTTTAAAAAAAAAAAAAAAAAAAAAGTGTGGGGCGGGTGTGAGGGGGAGGAATTGGGAGGAGAGAGGGAGGGGAAACTTAGTCAGGATGTAATTAATATATGAGAAAATAAGTAAAAAATAATGCAAATGAATAAGGATAAGAGTGACAGAGACAGTAGTGTCACTCTCTGATCTGCATAAGAGCATGCAGCGCACGCACACACACACACACACACACACACACACACACACACGGTTCCAAGTGGAATCCTCCCCAGAAGGCTAGGGATTCAAACCTGTGAGGCTATTACAATTGTGGTCTTCCACCTATGGGACACTGGCTTCTTTTCCTCTTTCAAAATGAATGATGTACCAGTTAATTCTCATTCAGCATAGTCTACCTCTAACTTTCAAATTCACTGGAATTGTTCTTGGGAGAGAAAATGAGAAAGCAAAGTGCAGATGGAAAATGGCTCTCTCGGGCCAAATTGGAAGCTGGAATTACCTCCAAAGGCAGATGCAAGGGAGTTCTCATAGCGGGACGCCTCCAACCCTTTTGAGATGGGGTCAGTGAGTTTCCAAAGAAAGAAGCAGCAGATGCTAGGATGCTCCATTTACTGAATGTATTAAAGTACTTACCTACCAAGACGGGCTGCAGCATCCTCATGATGGACGGTGGGGGAAAGAGGTTCCTCCTAAAAGACATCTCTATCACAGGAAGTCTGTATGAGGGTTGGAAACTTACAGTCTGGTTGGTTTTCTTTACTGTTTTAACAACCTAAATATTAATTTGTTAATGCCCAGAACCCCTGATTGGGTTCAGAAAAAAAAAAAAAGACATCTAACAAAGACAGACTGTCAAAGGCACTCTGGATTTCTTGGTCAAAACAAGAAAAAAAGTGAGGATATCTGGAGTGTCCCGCAGAGCATCCGTCCCTCCCTGCAAAACACTTCACTGCAATATTTACTAGAAGTGAGTGGGGCTGTTAGGAGGAAGGGAAGTGGGGAAGCAATTAGAGTTCACAGAGGAAGGGACAGGCTAGCATCCCAGGATTACATAAACTTACAGGGGCTGCCAAATTGGTCAAAAAACTGCTTTAGAAAACACCTTGCTGTAGTTGAGCATAGTGAGATATGCTTTTAACCCCAGAAGGTGGAGACAGACGAATTTCTGTGAATTCTAGGCTAGATTGATAGTCAGACTGTCTTGGGGTGGAAGTGGGGCCAACCTGAGGAATCTCAGGGAATGGCTGGAGTCTCCCTGATCCCTTCTTTCTCCTCAGGAACAGGTGCTCGGCTTGTTGATGATAAATCTTGCGTCCCAGTTTCAGGAATGCTGTGTGATATGATCTGGCCAATGTATCACTATCAAATACCACATTTTGCTTCCTTTTGTTTTTGAAACAAGGTCTCTATTTAGTTCTAGCTGTTCTGGAACTCTGTTTGTAGTTCAGGCTGGCCTGGAACTCAAGCTGGCCTGCCTCTGTCCCCTAAATGCTGGAATTAAAGGCATGCCCCACTAGCCTAGATAGCTTTTAAGGAAAAGTATTAAACAAGCTGGACATGGTGGATTACGCCTATAATCCTAGCATTTGGGAGGCAGAGGCAGGAGGAAAATCGCGAGTTCCAGGCTAGGCTAGATTGGGCTACTAGAGTGAGAGATCTTGGGGAGAAAGGAGAGATAGAGAGTGGGAGAAGAATGAATTAATAAAGAACGGAATAAGATGGGGAGAAGGGAGATTTGTTTTTCATATTAGCTCTCAACTTTGAGCTTTATTCTCGATCTGGAATCCATAGATAAGTTCCCAATCTTTCCACAAACGTCCAATTACACTCAAAGAAAACCAAGGGCTTAGATTTGGACGGTGGGCAATTGCTAGCAACTAAGACTGGGAAAAACTTAATGAATGGGACTGAGCAGCAGAATAATGATCTAAGGCACTGGCGTGAGTCACCCTTTTCCTGTACGCAGACAAGCCCAGGGCACATAGGTCATCCTCCTGGCACAGAATGCCCTCATGCCACTCAGAATTCTTCCTGTTTTCATCCCTCCTTGCAAAACACTTCATTGCAATATTTACTAAAAGTCAATAGGGCTGTTAGGAGGAAGAGAAGTGGAGAAGCATTTAGAGTTCACAGAGGAAAAGACAGGGTGACATCCCAGGATTACATAAACTTATAGAGGCTGCCAAATTGGTCAAACAAGCCCGTGGAACCTGGAAGCCAGAGAACACCCTGTAAAGGAAAGAAACTGAAGCCTTTCTCGGAGCCTGTCCGGGCTGCTCAAACTCACAGACTATGGTGAGTCAGACTGTCTTGGGGTGGAACTGGGGCCAACCTGAGGAATCTCAGGGAATGGCTGGAGTCTCCCTGACCCCTTCTTTCTCCTCAGGAACGGGTGCTCGGCTTCTTGCTGTTGCTTCTGACGCTGGTGCATGCCTTTCCCGCCAAACCAGATCCCTGCGAGCTAGACGAGGAAGCTGTCCGCTGCTCCTGCAACTTCTCAGATCCGCAGCCGGATTGGTCCAGCGCTTTCGTGTGTACTGGGGCGGCAGATGTGGAGTTCTACGGCGGCGGCCGCAGCCTGGAACACTTTCTAAAGCGTGTGGACACAGAAGCAGATCTGAGGCAGTTCATTGATGTTATCAGGTCTCTCCCCTTGAAGCGGCTTACTTTGCGGGCAGCGCGGGTTCCTACTCGGATTCTATTCGGAGCCCTGCGTGTGCTCGGGTATTCCGGCCTCCAGGAACTGACTCTTGAAAACCTTGAGATAACCGGCACTGCGCCGCCGCCGCTTCTGGAAGCCACCGGACCCGATCTCAACACCTTGAACCTCTGCAAAGTGTCATGGGCAACAAGAGACGCGTGGCTCGCAGAACTGCAGCAGCGGCTAAAGCCGGGACTTAAGGTACTGAGTATTGCCCAAGCACACTCACTCAACTTTTCCTGCGATCAGGTCCGCATCTTTCCTGCCCTTACCACTTTAGACCTGTCTGACAACCCTGAATTGGGCGAGAGAGGACTGATCTCAGCCCTCTGTCCGCACAAGTTCCCGACTCTCCAGGTTTTAGCGCTGCGCAACGCGGGGATGGAGACGCCCAGCGGCGTGTGCTCTGCGCTGGCCGCAGCAAGTGTGCAGCTGCAAGAACTGGACCTCAGTCACAATTCACTGCGGGCTATTGAAGGCGCCCCGAGCTGTGACTGGCCTAGTCAGCTAAACTCGCTCAATCTGTCTTCCACTGGGCTGGAGCAGGTACCTAAAGGGCTACCAGCCAAACTCAGCGTGCTTGATCTCAGTTACAATAGGCTAGATAGGAAACCTAGGCCAGATGAGCTGCCCAAAGTGGAGAACCTGACACTTACAGGAAATCCCTTTCCGGACTCTGAATCCTACTCGGAGAAGTATAACTCTGGCGTAGTCACAGTCGCAGCTCCTTCATTTTTAGCAGCGGGCTTGTCAGGAACCCTGGCTTTGTTCCTAGGAGATCGCTTCTTTGTTTGAGAAATATTTATATCTGGTTTCTGAGGGTCCTCATCAACGAGTCCTCTGCTTTAAATTTATTAAAATCTTAATCTACAATGTAAGGAAAAAAAGACAGTCAAGATGGCTCAATGGGTAAAAGCCACCAAGCTTGACCCCTGGTTTTGATCCTCGGGAGCCACGCGGAAGGAAAAAACTCACTCCTGAAAGTTGTCCATCTGTGCTCACAAATAAATATTTTTAAAATAACAAGTGTCTGTTGGTTTTGTTTGTTTGTTTGTATTTTGTTGTTTTGTTTTGTTTTTGAGACAAAGTCTGGCTATGTTTCCTTGGCTGACCTCAAACTCATAAAGATCTGCCTGCCTCTGCCTCTCAAACGCTCTGGTTAAAGGGATGTGCCTCTATGCCCAGTTTAAATAATCCTGACCCATGAGTCCAGATCACTCACTCCACAGATCTTTACTGAGTATCTGCTATATGGCAGGCTCAGTGCTAGATGAGGAATTCATTCTTAACTTTTCTCCATCTCCCTAGAAATCCTACCTCTTCTCAAGAAAAGAACTGCCGAGAAGTGTTCTCAAGCTCCAGCTATGGAGGAAGAATGTGTAGTGAGAGCTTCAGAGCAGATTACTGGGCGCTGGGGTTAAACGATAGCTGAATGGAAACTGAAGAGGTTTGGATGAGACTGGCTCATATGTATAAATACTAGATCCCCAGTTGGTGAAACTGCGTGAAAAGAAATGAATTAGGAAGAGTGGCCCTGTTAAAGGAGGTTGAGGGGGCAAGGCTTTGAGATTTCAAAAGCTCCTGCCACTAACTGGGAACAGTTAGCTCTCTGCTAACTTAGCTTTGTGCTTTGTGATCAGGATACGAATGAGACCTCATGCCAGCTGCCACATTCCCTGCCATGGTAGTCATGGACTCTGAGCCTCTAAATCAGTGGTTCTCAACCTTCCTAATGCTGAGACATTTTAATACAGTTCTTCATATTGTGGTGACCCTCGACTATAAAATGATTTTTGTTGCTACTTCATAACTGTTTTGACTACTGTTTTGAATCATGTTTTCTGATGGTCTTAAGTGATCCCTCTGAGAGGGTCATTCAACCACCAACTTTCAAGAGCCAAAGGTAATAAAATCTCCAGCCATTTTCTTTTACACTTCCTTTCTCTTCCACACCCTGGAGGAGGAGGGACAAAAATGTCTCCTGTCCTACATGAACTTTGAGTTTTGTAATTCCGTCCTTGTTCCTTAAATGAAACTTCTGTGACTTTCACCTTGTCAAATTCCTCACCCAACAATGGGGGGATCTGTGTAGGATTCAAATGTTGATTTCTGTGCCCACCCCCAAATCTGGTTGCAATCCTTTTTCTGAAAACCTTCTGTCTCAATATTGTCTAAACATTGCTCCCCAAGTATTCCCCGATTGGTCACCCACTGAGATTCATGTATTGAAATCTGGGAGTGGTGACACATGCCTCTACTTCCAGCACCCAGGAGGCAGAGTCAGGAGAATCATGAATTCTGAGCTACACAGTAGAACTCTGTCAAAAAAAAAAAAAAATTCGGGGCTGGAGAGATGGCTCAGCGGTTAAGAGCACTGACTGCTCTTCCAGAGGTCCTGAGTTCAAATCCTAGCAACCACATGGTGGCTCACAACCATCCGTAATGAGATTGGATGCCCCCTTCTGGTGTGTCTGAAGACAGCTACAGTGTATTCATAAATAAAATAAATAAATATTTAAAAAAAATTCATTTGTTGACATCCTGATCCACAGGGTATCTGTATTTGGAAATGAGGTTCCCAAGGAAGCAATTAGGTTAGTCTTAAGGGTGGGACCTGATTCAGTAGAATTACCAGAAAAGACACTAAGAGCCCACAAGCCTGGTCTCTTTATCCCTTTAAAGACCAAGGTGAAAATATAAAATGTGAGTAAGGAGTGAGTCCTCACTAAAACCCACATGGTGTCTCATAACTGTCTGTAATTCCAGTTCCAGGCGATCCTGGTCTACATGGAGAGTTCCAGGACAGACGTGGCTACATTGAGAGACCCTGTCTCAGAAAAAGAAAAAAAGAGATTAATTGAGGAAAAGAGAGAAACCATCCAAAAGTGGAAGGTATGTCCAAAGGAGAGAAAGCCATTAAATTTCCTTTGTCAAGGGATTTTACAGAGTAATGGCAGAAACTGTACATAGCTGAAGTAATCTCTGTTAAGACTAGCTAATTTCAGTGATATCATACGTCAAGCTCACACTATCCATGTTCCCCCTGGCCCAACCAGGGAGATGGTTGTGTGTTGCCCATGTACTGCCTACCCAGTTAGGGGTTCTTGAAGCTTACTCTGTGCATCCCCAACTCAGGCTTTGACTGATTTTGTATCTATCAGTCTAACATTCAGCCAGTGTTACTTCCCTCTGAACTTGAAGTTGACTCAATTGCTGATAATTTTACTAAGTTGTCTTTGTTCTTACATTTTATAGGTTCAGTTTGTAGTTTTACCATGGCAGACAGTTAACTCTATATCATCTTCCAAGATGTGGCTGCAGTCTTTCTTGGTAACTTAGTGCCTTTGGGGTGGAAGCTTCTTATTGGGAAATCTTTACTTACAATTGAGTTGGTTACAATTAGCTGTATTAAAAGCAAGACTATATAAAAGGACGATAGTGCCTTGCATATGTTCCTCAAGGGTTTCAGAGTGAGTGTGAGGTGGAGGAAGGGTAAAGACTGGCCCAGATTCTTGTCCATCTTATCAGTTTAGCTTGACTATCTTGCACCTAGTGACAAACCTTCTTACACATCTTTATTAGCGCTGTAAACTCTGTAGTTATAGCCTTAATCTTTCTTTTTAATTTTGGCATCTATTCATCTATCTTTTAAAAGATTTATTTATTTATATATATGGACAATGTATTTGCAAGTATGTCTGCATGACAGAAGAGGGCATCAGATCCCATTACAGATAGTTGTGAGCCACTGTGTGATTGCTGGGACTCAAACTCAGAACCTCTGGAAGAGCAGCCAGTTCTCTTAACCACTGAGCCGTCTCTCCCACTTGCCAGTGTCTATTCTTACCATAACATATGTGAGCCATCTGCAGTTTTCTCCATGAGAGTTCCTCTCTCTATGAACTGAAAGTTAGCACCTGCATCATTGGGAAATAAACTGGTCCAGCAACTGTGATAAACAACAAAGCTCAATGAGATCAGGAGTCTCCCTTAGTCAGCTCCCGAAGCTGTGCCTATAGAAAACCCAGCAAGTACTCCACCCTTTACTGGAAGATTGTCTGAGTGAGAAGAATGGGTCTAGGGATGGGTATTGCTATCATGAAGACATAGAAAAAACAGTACTAAATAACACATCTACCAAAGAAGCATAAGGCGTTCCTAGCTGACTTTGGAGATTAGAGAGCCTGCTCCCAGTGTCAAGACATGTGATATCTGTTTTTCTGGACAACACTCAGCAGCCTAGAGAGAAAATGCATTCATCTAACATTGAAATGAGAAGTACAAGGCATCCCAGAGAAGACCCAAGATTGAGAAATTTGAACTGATAGAGCAAGACTGAGTAGTGTTCCCTCACAGTGACGGAAGGAAGTGAAGGAAGGAAGGAGACGGGATTAAGAGAAGTGGGGGTTCCACATGGCACTCTGTGGCCACATATCTGGTGTGAAATGGCTTTTTTTCTGCTGAAGGGTGAAATGTGGTCATAGGATTTTCTGAGCCAAGATCTGTTTCCTTCTAACTTCTTCTTTTGTTTTCTGTCATCTGGAGCTAACATACCCAGGTCTTTTTCTTAACTCCCAGAAGAAGACAAATTCACTGAAAACAAATTCACTTTTTGTTCTCTCTGATCCATTCTATTTCTTCCAATCTATACCCTCCAGCCACTTTTTTTTGTTTGTTTGTTTTTTGAGACAGGGTTTCTCTGTGTAGCCCTAGCTGTCCTGGAACTCACTCTGTAGACCAGGCTAGCCTTGAACTCTTGAACTCAGAAATCTGCCTGCCTTTGCCTCCCAAGTGCTGGGATTAAAGGAGTGTGCCACCACCGCCCGGCTCCAGCCACTTTTTCTAATGCTCATTCCCCCAGATCTTTTAAAGATATTTTTAAGCCATTTAAAATCATGTTACATAAAAAACATTTGAGCCCTGATTTGAATCATTTTGGCAAAACTTTTTGAGGCTATGTTATGTAATTAGGCTGTCCTCAAACAGGAAATCCTACTTCTACATCCTGGGTGCTAGGTATGTGTCACCACTCCCAGCAAGACATTTCTTAAGTTGCTAGTTTTCTTTCTTTTTTTTTTTTTCCTCCTCTCCTCCTTCTCCTTTCTTGTTTGTTTGATGTGTTTGAGACAGGGTCTTTCTGTGTAGCCCTGGCTATCTTCGAACTCACTCTATGGACAGGCTGGCCTACAAACTCAGATATCCTGAGTGCTGAGATTAAAGGGGTGAGCCACTACACTTAGATTGGCTTAACTTCCTCAAACCAATGTAATACCCAACATCAAAGGAATACAATTTTTTTCTATGATTATTTGAATAGATTCAAAAGAAACTTTTGGCAAAAATCCAACCCCCTTTCATGAAAAAACATTCAACAAAAGAAAAAAAATCTAGAAAGTTTCCTCTTGTGGTCATGAAGTATACAAAAAAAATATGATCTGAGACCACATTTGATGATGGAAGACTAGATATCTTTTGCCCTAAAATCAGTAATACAAGAATGGATGTTTTCAAAGCCTCTAGTCAACAGTTTACTAGAGGTTCTGGTCATGATAATTCATCATGGAAAGTATGACTTTATTTCAAAATACAAAACAGGCTGGGAAGATTGCTCTGTAGGCTTAGAGTTTTCAAGACCTACTTTAATTCTGGTTCTTTAATGCTTCAATCTCCCTTCTATCCCACCTACCAGAGGTAGGGAAGAATGATGGTTAATAGGACAAGGGGGAAGTGGACCTGTTCACAAGTAGTTCTTTAGGGTGATTCCAATCTTCATTGTCAGGTTATCAGCAGTCCAGTTCAAAACATCAAACACGAATCAATAGTGGCAGTCCAGTCCAATCAGCAAACACCAAACACAAATTGGTAGCAGCAACTAGATCCAGAAGTAACTGAGAGATTCCACCGAATTGACATGAGTCCATGGAAGCAGTAAGAAGCAGCCAGAATACAACTAGGAGTTCTTTGGTACATTTCTCTCTATGAATTTATGACAAGATCAACAAAGACCAGCAAAGCATCATAAGGTG